TATATATATAGTTGTTATGTTATACGTATATATATTGTTGTTATATCCTTGTGTCGCGAAATATGTTTAGATAATTACGTGGATTGTATTAGTATTAAAAATATGTGCTGCCGATTAGCTGCGAACGGTATTTTGCGGGAAATGCTGTGAGTTCGCCACAACTGAATGTTTGTGCTGTTTCAAAAGGCAGTTTAGTTTGCAAACGAAAGCATGGTGAAGTGGAAGGTTTACGGTCATTGTTTATAGTCTTGCTTTGGCGACGAAACCGGACGTTGTCGTAAGAATACCACGCTTACCACCAGTATTAAGGACTGTCTTACCGCAGACGCAGCTCTAGAGTAAAGTATTGTGCAGGTGTATGTTACTTAAACGGCTATAGGGAGTAAGAAGTGACCTACCATTCATTCGGGTCCAAATTCCACTGAATAACCATTACGAGTGCATTTGACGCCTTTCGGAACAGACATGTTCGCACCGCATCACTACTGACGGAAGGAATATTTCTCCGAAAGCAGCAGAAATGACTCATACGGTATGGCTCGCAGACAAATTTCGCTCCAAATCCTTAGGAGTCAGAAGCACTGGGTAGCTGAGCTTAACTCAGATGTAGACTTAAATGGGACATCGCCTTATTTTATTCCCCTCCATACGTTCGTCCCGGGCGATTAAATATCAGACATTACTGGACCTTTCGATAACCTTAAGTGTTTCACCTCTCACCGGACATTTGATGAAAGTGAACATCCACTCGTGAAAATTTTGATTGAAAATAATGTCTTTGGTGACATCGACGTAGCTTGAGAGACGAATTTGTTGCCTTAAGTTCAGCTGGTCGTTTTCGAGGCTGTATGGTCCCATGGGTCAAGTTTCCAGATATAATACCGTCATATTTTCATTCCTTACAGGTAGTGCTCACGTTTGAACTATCAGCTGGGGCTGGAGACGCTGTGATTGCGGAAAAATTCACCCATACCCAATGCACATCAGTCCCTCACCATGCTCGTTTTGAGAAAGAGCCTGTAGACAAGGTTGCTACTCAGCCGGTGAAAATCCCTTCTCCGTTGAAGAGTGGTCTAGTGTCGTTGGCCACATCTCTTAACCCAGTGGTTTCCCCATTTTCTCGCATTTGTAGTCTCCGATTACCAGGCAAATGGAAACATCCAAATTCATCAGCGAAAGCTGAAGTTGTTTCTCTATCCGATCTTGACGATACCTCTCGAGCGATTTATGTGAAGACTCGTTCAATGTCTTTGAAAAGCAAGACATCCCCGATGGCGAACTCGGCTCCGCTCCCCGTAGCTCACCAGACTCCTTCACCAAGCGACCATACGTCGGAAGACAGTGAAGAAGAGGAACAGACCGATACGGATTCAGATGTATCCATTTCAGAACCTGTGCAAAGTCCGATGGCAACTAACTTGTTGCCATGCCCGCTTGCCCTGTCCCTTTCGTTTGATGCACCCACCACCAAACAAACAATTGTTCACCATTCCGGTCCGCTTGAGCCAAACGGGTCCTCCGAGTGTAGCGCCCCAAAAGCATCACCACTCAGTCCCTACACCCAGAATCCGGTGACACATCACTTTGTCCGGAAACCAGCTCAACACAAATCTCAAGCGACAAACAACAATAGGTGATCAACATGTGATATCAACATACATCGGCTGTGATCCTCTTCTCATCAGTATTTTAATTTTATCAAGCCACACGAGCGCCCATAGCCCATGTTTCTCAATACTTGTCCGGAATCTACACGTTAAGTAAAGTTTGTTGTGTTGTGTTAACGAGATTAAATGCCTTCTTATTAATTATCACTATCTATCTCTGATGTTTTTCTGCGTTCATGTATGTAAACACATGTATATAAATATGTTCTGTTTCAACATGTTCTGAAATTGTATGCACAAACGGTCACAGAAGGCGGGTTGGAGGGCCTTTACGTGATGGCCATTCTGCTACAGTAAATCCACAGAGTGCCCAGTAGTGCAGCTGCAAGCGCTTTAAAGCCAAGATTTTTGTTAGAAGGGGCCCTCTTGGTAGACAGATCCTCTTGTAACACAGGTGTTACTTCCAGGTGGGTAACGCATAAAACGGCGGTGCGCTTGAAATGACCTACTTTCTTTTTTCCACGCTTGTACACTAACAAAAATGGGTATAAGGTGGTCGCTCGGTGGTACGGATATTGTGCACCATAATTTGCGTGTAAACCGGTGAAATGTCTATCTCTAAGTGTGACACCTTTCATTAAGTTGCCGAAAACCCTTCGACAGCCCACGACCCGTTTCACATTTCCTGGGGCTCATGGGGTAGGCGCAGTCCCCGGGTTTCCGACAACCCCAAATTGGACGGGATTTGCCGAACACTCCTGTATGCATCCGAATTTGGGATAATTGACTGAATTTCGTTTATAATGGTCTTCACCAGATAGTATAATGTGGTATCTCGAATACCGTACCAAGCGAACTATGAGGCGGCCTGGTCCGGTTATTCAGCTAAAGAGAACTGTCGTAAATGAGCGATTCAGCTGGATCCAGTTGACCTTCCGGCAGCCGAATTTGTATGCAAATGAGGGTATTTGGCGAAATGTCTTTCCATTTCTTTTTTAACACAAATCCTGAAGAGATTGAACCGAATCACCTACGGGGTTTAGGTAACGTTAATACAACTGGTTTGTCAGAACCAAGGATATGATCAGAAATATTTTTTTATTCGCGCACATGGCAATTTACAAGTCTCGATGGTGACAGTTGGTGGATGTGTGCATCGTGTTTGTGAATTCTTGTGCCGTGGCTAAGACTAATAAATATCACAATATAATGGTAGAACCCCCCGTGCGGATATGGGCAGACATGGGCGAAAGCGAACTGTTACAGAATGTTGATTACCCGTGTACTCGTAATCGTTATTGTGAATGGAGAGCTTTCCAAGGTGGATTTCGTGTTTTTCGAGCTTTATGAGAGCCGTTCTGGCCATTCTTCTCGCCTCCAGATCAGCGTTCTGTTGGTGAATTTCAGCTATAGTAATGTCTTATTGCGCAAGGGTCACTGACCCAGGACCCGAATGGCCGTTATCGCGCAATTCCGCTTCATTGGCATGCATTCCAATCTGGATTTGGTTGCCTTCATGTTGACTGACCGTCCCGGTCATTTCTTCATTAAAAGACGTAAAAGCACTTTTGCTCTGCTCTTGTCTGCTCGTTCGGGTTTAACCTTTCAGAGGCCAATGGTAAGCGGACAAAAGAATAGCATGTCTCCATGGTTTGAGTAGCCTTATTGTTCGACGTTCTGTAAATTAGGCCGCAATATGCATCAGCATTTACATATCTTGAAATTGGTGGTGTCTTCCCGAGAGAAAAGACAGACCCTAAAAATCCAACAAATCGGTCACCCAACGGCTGTCTGTGACTATCAGCTTACTAGTCGAAATGATTCAGAAAACAGCGCGGCTGAAAGCGCATCTGTTGCGAACAACAGCATTCGGAGCGATACTTCCGTCTTACTCACTGTCTCCTCGATCCAGGGCAACACCCACAGCCAATTTGGTTAACTTTATAGGTCTTTGGCTTCTAAAAGGTCCCATCAAGAAAGACATATCACTCGCTACCTTGTTGGTCAGACTTGCGGTTAATTAACTCAGGACAGTGAAGGTCCGCAGCTCCGGCATCCAAAAAGAAAAACAGTTTTCGAAATTGCAAGTAAACATCTTGGATCTTGTTTATGAAGCAGCATCACTCAAAAACTTGAAATTGGAACCCAGAACATCAGAATCCTACTAGTTATAGGGAATAATGACAGGCCTGAATGACTTATGGTGCTTATTTATCAAGAACTCAAACGCTATGTTGTCGATAGTGTGGCAGTGGTTAAGATCAGACTGTCAGAACGGGGGAAACTCTGGAAAGTTGGAGCCCGTTGCACTAAAACAGACAGCTGACAAGAACACGTACGTCAGGCGCATATCTAACGTACAGTCCAAAGAAAGGAGAAGGGCCGCCAGTTCATCCACGTATAATCGACAAGCCAGGGTTGGATTCTAACACTGAGCCATTTGGTCAGTGGCTTCACACCTTCACAGCTGGGCTATCTCGAGTTGGAATGGCATTATCCACAAGCTCGCTTTCAAGAACAGTCGGCCACACATCAAGACAAGTGTGAGAGCATTTCAAATTCAGCTCACAACACGAGTATTGCTACGTTCGCGAGTGCCCGTGTGCCTTCAGTGTCTCACTCTCAGCTGTCAAATGTCACACAATCGACTTTCGCCATAGATAACGTTTTTTTTCCCAAGTGATGCTTTTAGTTTTGGAGTTACGAAAGGTTTAGAAACTTGAGAGAGTATAATAGTGCCCCTTGGAATCGGACCAGTGAACGACAATCGCTAACACGTGTTGATTGTGTGTAGCTCTGCTATTCACCTTTATTAACTAGTTGGTTAATCCCGGGAAAATCCCACTGGTCACATGGACTTATCTGGGCATTTCATTGGTTATACAACTATCCAAAAAACAAACTACAAATATATTCTCCTTGTGAAAGGAGGGCATAATGCTGAGTCTGACAGGTCATTCTTTAATACAAATGTATGTGGATTCCAGAGTATAGAACAACCAGTTGACCTTGAAAGATTGTAATTTTACTCAAAATAGACTAGTGTGACCAAATAGTGAAACGCGGCATCCGGCCGACACTTGGTACATCCTATAGGCGATCAATGCGTAAGAATGAATCGAACGATACTGGGAGGCCGAGATGAGAAACAAAATCGGCGATCAAGCAGGAAGAAATCACTCTTATGATTCAATCCGAATCTGATTTGTCAATTTGTTTCATTCCTAGTCCATGTCACCGGTGGGGATGAACTTCAGAGTTCCGCTTTCTGCGTTTCATCTGAAAAGATGTGACAAGGTATGGATAAATTGTAGTTGGTTGCAGGGGTTGAAGCATTTAGGTTCACACATCACTATCATTTGAATAGTCCCCTTTCTATTATAATGTAACTGTTCAGGCCTGTTCACCCTAAACTGAAGAAGCGATGTACTCGAGTTTTACGTCTGTTCGAGCCCATCAGCAGTGCACATCCTTGGCTGTGCTGGAAGTCGAACATCTTATAGCTGGCACATGGGGACAATGTGTTACCAACACTCCACCAGTGCAGGTTAGACGCAACTTAATTACCACGTCTGAATTATCCTGAAAAGTGGAGGATATGCAATGTTTGTGAACTCCAATAAGAGCGGATTTCGAGCCCTGTGTTACCTAACTTTGAATCACTTTCCAGGATGGCATGCATGCAGTCGATCAGAACTAAAACCCAATGATCGGGAGGTTATGCACATCTGCAGGCAGATGAACTAGTTTTGTTTACGTGCACGGTCGAGTGATAAGACGATGTAGTCATTCCGAATCAATTCACGGGACCAAATGAAATTACATTCTTTCGAGCATTTCTAACGATGAACGAAAAGACAACCTGTGCTAGAGGCGTTAGGAGGACTAACCGTAAACGAACAAATTCACTTTGCTAACTGAAACATCGTTTCTACATTTTAGCCTCTTACTGACATCCATTGGATTGTTAGCTCTTTTTATATTCTGGTTTAGTTGAATTCCATATCCCGGAACGAACCACTTGTTCGCAGAATAACTTCCTCGAAGTTGTTTGTCTTTCCCATTCCTGTGAACTAGGGATTAAGACTGATACACTATCTGAGAGGATATAACACTGGCACTTGATTATTCAACGGCTTCCGAACTTTTACCAGCTCGTTTTCATTGCTTCACAAACTTAAATCATCAAAATAAATGGCGTGTGAACGTCCGCGCATAGTGAGTGGAACTATCGCCTACTGGAGCGCTAAGATGCCGGTCATTTCGGTTGACCTATTCTTTTCTATTTATGACCGTTAGTTTTTTCACTGAGCTGGGCAGTTCGGTTGCGAATGTTTGATTACCAGTCGAAGTGGCGAAGAGACGTTTGCAACAAATTACCCAGCTCACCGAACAAATCAACAGCCATCATTAAAACCCAAGCTACTAATATTTTCTGCTATTTATCCCCAAGACCCATGATCGTTATCTAAGCTGTTGAAAGAGACGAATTTATAGCACACCGAAGTTTACAGATTCTTCCACTGCTTTTATCTTCATTTCACATGGGGACAATGTGTTACCAACACTCCACCAGTGCAGGTTAGACGCAACTTAATTACCACGTCTGAATTATCCTGAAAAGTGGAGGATATGCAATGTTTGTGAACTCCAATAAGAGCGGATTTCGAGCCCTGTGTTACCTAACTTTGAATCACTTTCCAGGATGGCATGCATGCAGTCGATCAGAACTAAAACCCAATGATCGGGAGGTTATGCACATCTGCAGGCAGATGAACTAGTTTTGTTTACGTGCACGGTCGAGTGATAAGACGATGTAGTCATTCCGAATCAATTCACGGGACCAAATGAAATTACATTCTTTCGAGCATTTCTAACGATGAACGAAAAGACAACCTGTGCTAGAGGCGTTAGGAGGACTAACCGTAAACGAACAAATTCACTTTGCTAACTGAAACATCGTTTCTACATTTTAGCCTCTTACTGACATCCATTGGATTGTTAGCTCTTTTTATATTCTGGTTTAGTTG